GGAGAGGGCAACTGCAAAAATTGAGGCTCCAACCGGCGATTGGCGGCTCTCCACTGGGCGTATGCACCACACCATGATGCCACCAAAACAATAGCGCTGCGTAGTTCCCATTTCTTGAAGCGACAGCCTACACTGGCCACCTGTATGTCCTCGTCTTCGCTAATGAAGGGATTGGTTTCATTGTTTTCCTCAGCTTTGTATTTGGCTTTCTGATCGCCGGTTATGAGCACTTTCTGAGTAAAGTTATGTTTATGAAGGTGCCCTCAATGGCCAGATTACTCGGCGAATTGCACAAGCCGTCGTTGTCGGCGAGCGCTTAAACGCTAGTCTTATTCACAGCTAGCAAATAGAGTTTCATATGATCGCGTTTGTCCATGAAGATTTTTTCGACAACCTTTTCGATAAAAATATCCCAATAGTAGCGAGACTGGCATCCGTGGCAATCACGTTACCAATCGTCTTGGAAAGACGACGTATGAGCAGATCATCAGTGGTGGTTATAGAGTGCACAATGCGATCAATCTTCTGCAGCGGCTTCTCGTTCTTCACATTGATGCGATCGTATGTCTTATCATAGTACCCCAGGGTGCCGCAAGTGGTAAAATCTCTCCCTCTTTAATGATCGGCAGCGGGCGTTAAATGAGACGCGGGAAATTCATCTCTTCAATGGAGGCCCAGTCGGCCCGCACAGTCACCGAAGATTCTCGCATCTCAAAGTTACCTAATCCACTGACATTCAGCCGTAAAAATTCAACAAGAAGCCCGTTGCTAAACTCATCCATCTTACGATCGACACCAATGTCAGTATTCCATAGATACAGAATTCTCAGCTAACATAAATGTGGTCCTTTGTGTTTCAATTCCATATCCTTAAGCACAGTATCTCTTTTCCTACTTCAGCAAAATGGTTCTTTGCCCAAGCAGCGAAAATTAGCAGCGCCAACAACTCCGAGGAGTGCGGTCCTACAGATGTTGGGCTGTCGTGGAGTGCATGCACTGTGGAAGTAACAACTGAATCATAGACCCGTGAGCCCAACCCAAAGTCGCGTGCCTCACACCAAGGCGCAAAATCTACGATTGGAACTCGGACCAGAACCTTCTAAGCGCTCACCATCCACTGAGTCCACCACATCACGAGTGCTGTTCGCCATATCTACGGCGTCAGCTAGAACGCTTTCTTCGCTCCTCCAGCGCAGGAGCATCAGCGTACTGCCTTCTGCACTGGTGCTCCTGGGTAACTGTAGAACTTCCTTTGAGACTTCAGCGCTAATTGATCTGTGCAGTCAGATTAGTTGCATCAGTGCATTCTTGGCAGCAGTCCTCGGACACTCCGCGACTCGCGTTGGTGCAGAAAAGGCTTGTAGCGCATATCTCTGCCTATCTCTCAAGGGGCCTGACGCCACGAAAATTGAAGTTTTTCTCCAGACGGAGATTTAACTATAGATTCGGACCCTTATAAGGCAAATCGAGGAGAGCTGGCAAAACAAAGTAGAGAACATCGTTTTGGTAGATGCTGGGTTCCATCGGCCCAACGCCGTCTCCTTGGTGCTCGGTACGGATCTGCATTTCCAAATAATCTGCCCGGGCTTGATACCCAACCAGGACGGTCTGCCAGTGGCCCAGAACCCCATATTCGGATGGGTCCTCTTCGGAACCTGCAGCCAGTGACGTCCAGCGTGGATACACCTGACCTCCCTTCTTTCTAAAGACTTCCTTTTGCAGCAGGGATGTTCATGTCGCATATTCATATCGGAAATAATTCATATTGTGAACCATCTACATCTCACAGAGAACCACCTCACCACATGTTCAGTCTTAAACGCCAAATATGAATATTCTAGTCCTGTGTTTAATACATTTGGTGACATCTCGGTGTTAATAAAGTCTATATGATATTAAAGTTTCTTGCCAGCTTGCGTATTAAATGCTTACTGATGTTTATTTGGTGTGCTAATGATATTTGTAAAATTTGGTTGGCTGGGCACCTTTCTATTGTCATTGTTAATTTTCGAGCCGCGATCGATCAATTGTTGAGTTGAGATATGCCTAATCAAACTCACTGCCTAAAAAATCATTGATTACCATCAATAAACTGTTGACGGTCTGTTGTTCTCAGCATGAGTAAGGACAACGAAGACCTAACGGTTTGGCATTAGGAGAGAGTAAAACCAAAACCAAACATACGACTACACTCTGATAAATTTGCTATTTGAAGCAACGCATAGGAATGGGAACGAAGATGATGGAAACGAAACACTTGAAATGATAATTGAAGGTGATATCAATAATTCTCCCAAGCCGCCATCTTTATTTTTGTTTGAGGTTAATGAGATAAGTGACTAACTAACTAACTAGCTAACCTTAATACTAAAATGAATAAAGAAGAAATCTACTGTAAACCAAAACGTCATTTAGAAATGTCATTAAGAATTTGAACTTCTCCCGAACACTTCATTAATAACAAGTAAGGGGCTCTAGTCGGTATTTTCCGAATAGGGGATACCCTGAACCCTCTTCTTACGACACAAAATGCAACTCGCGCTACGAATACGTTTGCCATAACATTGATAAAAACATTTTTTTAAAAAACTTAGTTCCTCCTCGAACACTTACCGACCTAAATATAGCTTTACCATGAAAGCTACATGATCAGGATATGCTATTCAAATATCTACATTTGGTGACTCTAGCTCTTAAAACCTAAGAGATTAGCTCAAAAATTGGATTTCGATATCGATTTTTATCGATTTCTTACAAACGCGGGAAGTTAACAATTATCGAAAACAAACTCGCGGACACTAGGTGGACTTACGTTCAACATTTCAATTCTTTAGCTTTGGATGAACAGACGGACTGACGGACATGGCTAGATCGACTCAGCTATTGATGCCGATCAGGAATGTATATATGTATGGGGTCGGAGATGCTTCCTCCTGCCTGTCACATATATTTGCACAAACACATTATACTCTTTTTAACAATTTTCAGTGGGTCCAAAATATAAAGACGGACCTTTACAGCCAATGATCAACCTATCTACTTCCACCCATCCACTATCAGAGCTAGATCTCTGGCCATTCATTTACGCAACTGCTGTACGCGACAGTGGATTATTCCCGACTCAGGGCTTTGGCAGCAGTACAAAGTAGCCTCCGGAGATGCAGCAGCGAGCTCCATTACAAACCACTCAACTCCCGAGTGGTTTTTGGGGAAATCAACCCCAACAAGCCAAAAACTTTTGCTTCGTCTGGCACTGCTGGATAGCAATCTGAAAAACGTTCAAATAACAAACATTATTTGCAAATTGTATCGTCTGTCAACGAAGTTTTCACTTTCCGTGCGACTCCCATGACGTGCCCCCGATGGACGTCTAGCGGCTGGTGGACTTTTACCATCATTCTCCGCCTACAAAGTCCCTGGGGCCGAGCAGATTTTCCTGGCGTTTCTGCGACACTGTCTCCAGATTATCCCGCATCCGAAAGATAAATAACTTCAGGCAACCTTCACTTGGAGATACATTCTACACTCTTGGAGAAAAGTGATAGTGTTATTTATCCCCAGACAAGGAAATCGTCGTTTGGGGCAACTTAAATTCTACCAACCAATTAGTCACTCTTCTTTTCTTTTAAAGCCGGCAGACTTTGTTTGCCTTACTGTCATCCCTAGTGATTTTTGAGCTTTTTTTGAAACTGCATTACATGGGCATCAACGCAGAAGTTCGACAGCAACCTATCCGAACATATTCGAAGCGCACTGACTGGTACTCAGATGAAAGGCTTGACATAAACCCAAAGAATACGAATAGTTTTCCCTTCCTTAAACGTTGATATAAGTCATCTCCCTATGCCAGCGATTCCGTAAAATTATAGGAAGTTAATGAATTATAAGAAAAACAAATAAGTAGTTCTAGTCAGGAGCTCCCGACTAGGGGATACCCTGAAAGCTCTTCTTCCAACACCATATGCAGCTCGCGCTACGCGCTTGTTTGCTTTAGTAGTAATAAAGTAAAATTAAAATAATAAAAAAAATTGTTCCATTAGCAAGGTTCGAACTCGCAAATAACCACACTACTTGCCGCCGCCCCTAATCAACAGCTACGCTAGCCAAAAAAAAAAAAAATATAGTTCCCACGGTAGGTTTCGGACTCACAACAGACCGCATTACTTGCCGCCGCCCCTACCCAACAGCCACACCAATAATTGAGCACAGAAAACAATACAATCACAATGCTGTTGATAGAATTCGAAGCAGACGCGCATGAATGTGTGTGTGTACATGTATACAGGAATTCTTGGAATTTGTGCTAGATTCCGGAAGCATGTGGGCAGCCAAATAACATTTTCTCTTGTGTTTCTTAACCGATGATGAAATTTACAGCAGTAGATATTATTGTACTATAAAATATTCGTGTATGCTAAAAATGACAATTGCATTTAAATATGTGGCCAATATTGGTGCGTAGCATAAATTGGTTTATTTACTTGATTTATAGCAATGAGGTAGTAGCGGGTAGGTGGTGATAGCTATAAAATTAAAGATACTTGATATATATAAACTATTCTAGAAGCTAAATGTCAAGTTTGCTGACTCTAGCTCTTATTATTTAACAAAATTGCTCAAAAAACTGGATTTTTATCGATTACTTGGAAACGGGGCAAATTATCGAATATCGGAAACAAACCCGATCTGCGCGGGCACTAGGAGGACCCATAGCAAGAGTCTCTAGCTCTTATAGGTTCTGAGATACTTGCGTTCATGCATACGGACGGACGGACGGACGGACAGACAGACAGACGGACCTGGCCAGATCGACTCGGCTATTGATGCTGATCAAGAATATATATACTTTATGGGGTCGGAGATGCTTCCTTCCGCCTGTTACATACATTTGCACAAATACTTTATACCCTTTTTACCCATTTTCAATGGGTTCAGGGTATAAATAGCAGGACATGCACACAGCACAGAATACAATAGAATCGCAATTGCAATGCTGTTTATAAAATTCAATAGAGATGCGCACAAATGTGTGTGTGTACAGAAATGTATACAGAAATTGCAATTTCCGCTAGCTGCCGCAACCACGTGTCAAAAGCACACGTTTTCTTGAATA